TTTATTTAGTTTGAGAATTTCTGGGGTTTTTTCTTTTTTAAACAAAAAAAATAGCATGAAGTCCTATAGGAGATCTGGTCAAAACAAACTTGTTTGGGATCCACAACATTCAAGTCTGTGGCTCTGAGCTTATAAAGTTGGGAGAAGAATGATCTAGGCTTCCAGGGCCTCCATGTGCAGCTGACAAGCCAATCCTAATGTCGCAGGTGACACCAAACTCAGGGGTCCCCACGGGGGTCTACTATTCCTGAACTCTTTAAGAGGGAACAAGTTGATTAGATTTAGCATTTCCTAACATCAATTTAAGCTAATTAATTAACCTCATCTAATCTTCATTTTGCACGTGATCAGGGTTTTGGCAGTGGCTGTTAATTTTTCTCTTGTCTCCTGCTAACCCATCATCCTTACCAAAGCAGGCACTAGGAGAAAGTTTCACGTTTACTGACAAATAATGAGGACATACCCGCTCTTGTGGGACTTGCAGCCCTTGTGGGGAGAGGGGGTGTCCAGACAACAAGCAAGTAAACAAACACACAGAGTAAGAAACCATTAGACCGCGGTAAGTGCAGCGAAGACCAGGAGGAGGGCGGTACGGAGCGTGGCTGGGGAGGTGCGGCTACTTTAGCTACAGTGAGCAGGAAAGGGCCCGGAAGACGAGGGGCTCGAGTCTCATCTCTGGGAGGAGATCATCCTAGAAAGAAGGACCAGCAAGTGCAAAGGCTCTGAATTGGAAGACAGCTTAGTATGTTCAAGGAAGAGAAAAAGGCCCATGTGGCTAAAGCGTGGTGTGTGATGAAGACAGAAGGCAGGCAGGCACCAGATCACGTGGCGACTTCAGACAAGGCATTTGGTTTAATTCCAAATGCTCTGGGAAGCTGGTGGAGTGCCCAGGAGTTGAGAGCAAAACCAGGCAGAGTTTGCAAAGGTTCTTGGATAGCAATCGTGTTTGAAGACTTAGGTGTCCAGAGCTGCCCCAGTCGAATCAAGATACAGATCAAGATACCAGGACTGCCCTGCCAAGGGCTAAAAGAACGGGGAAGGCCCACTCCACTCTCCCACCCACCAGAGTGTCCACCCAAATCAATAGCAGCTCGTGGTGAATCACCAACCCTGGCATAACTGTGATGCCAGGTGGGAGATGAGAGTGGGGGTGAGGGAGACAATCCCTGAAAACATCATTCCACAGCATACATGCTACAGAAATCCCCGACTTGCTCACTGACGCTTCCCATTTGCAGGGCACGTACTGTCCATCCAAGAGGTGAAAGGGCATGGCCTTGAGTCAGACAGATCAGGGGCCGAGTGCTGCCTCAGTGACCCCCAGCAAGCTTGTTAGCCACTTCCCATCTCAGTTTTGTCACCTGGGGACCGAGGCACCAACCACAGGACTGGCCTCACGTGGCCTCTGTAAGGACGAAGTGAGACAGCGTGTGCCAAGGGCTCACCCCACAACAAACACTCCCTAAACGGTGCCGGGATTTCTTT